TGTGTCAGGGGCGGAAAACGGCCGCGGACCACGTGTCAGGGGGGGAAAATGGCCGCGGACCATGTGTCAGGGGCGGAAAAATGGCCGCGGACCGTGTCACGGGAGGGAAAATGGCCGTGTATCCTGCTCGTACCCCGAGGCGGAGTTCGCAAACCGAAGCAAAGTTTTGCAGCCGGAGCTGGTCGTAACCCGAAAAGCTCGTTAACAGAAGCGTTCGTAACCCGAGGTTCCACTGTACTGGTGTAGGCTTTCATGGCCAGTATCTGTTGGGCAGTGTTGGGCTTCAGAGTTTAGTGGCCATGGTCTAGAGAACAGATTTCCTGATATTTCACTGCCAATTGTGGCTGGCATCTTCAGAGGCCTCACAGACCACTTTGCCTCTGACAATGCCAGCGACACTTGCCAGCGAAACGTCAGGAAATTTGTTCTCCCAACTATGGTCACTAAACCCTCAAGCCTAACGCTGCCCAGTTGACACCAACTTGATAGCACATAATCAACCAACCAATTAATCAATCAATTGATCAATGACACACATTTAACCAACTATCATGATTGGGTTCACCTACTGTGTCAAGTCAAAACCCAACCACTCACACGGTAGTTTGCATACTCTCTGACTAGATTCCTACAACATCCTAAATTCTAAACCTGACTTAACAAAATACAATTGTTGTGTTCAAAATAACCTGTCCAAATCATGGATGGGGTCTCATAACAAGCTGACCCACAGACTAACCCAGCCTTACTATAGCACACTGTGTGAGGGCAACCTGGCCTCTCAAAACAGGGCCAGCGTTGTGTGTGCACGCAAAATGTTTGATGTTAGAATTTCCTTGTTTCTCTTTCAGGCTAGTACTGAAGATGAGCTGTCACTTAACACACCTCATAGAGGCATCAGGAAGAAAAGTAAATATTCACATTACACTTACCTCATAGGGAGATTCATGCTGAGTCTTGTCTGTTAAGAAGAAAGAGAAGAGTATGTGTGTGAGAAACCTGTGTCTTTTTATCTTTCCTCCAAAGAGAATCAAGAGGCGGGAATGGAGTTTGCATTATCTCACTTGCTGAAAGGATGTGACATAGAAACTGTGGTTAATGGTTGACTGAAAGGCAATGGCTGAAAGCTAGGATGGCCCAGTTTGAATCTTCACACAGGGCCACCTGACCTTCCCTAGGCTTAAAAATAAAAAGAGGCCCTTGTGACCACATTTTTTGGTATATTCTCACTTCCTTACTGAGATGGCTCTATTAAGGATTCTAACCTGTTCCTCTGCCACCTGATTCCATTCAAATCCTTTTTTTAGAATCCTTCTTTTTTTAAAAAAGGATATATTTTGAGGGAAGCCTTTCCTTTTCCCTCTGTTAAGAGGGGGTGATAAAAAGGGTACTTTAGGAGGGTGCAAATGAAAAAGTAACCCGTTCTCTTCTGGCTTTTTGTCTGCTAAAAACAGAAAAAGCATAGCCCCTTCTTTTGTCAAATGCCCTAAGCTTGCATTACAATCTAGGACAATGTTTTTCAAACTTGGCAACTTTAAGATGGGTGGACTTCAACTCCCAGAATTCCCCAGCCAGCATGCTTCCTTACCATTGCTGGTTGCTTGTCGTTTATAGACACAGCTGACCACATAGTAGACTCCCAGAGCAATGAGCAAAGTCAGGAGCAAATCTCCCAGCACGACTCCTGCAATGGTACCTGGATTGATCTGGTAGCAATGGCCACAGTCTGGGAAGAAAAAAGCCAAGAATTGTGAGAAACATAGAGATGTAGTTGCTGGGCCTTCACACAGCCTTTCTGCCCTAACATCTGGGCAACCAGAAGCTGGTCCTAACTGTGGAGTCCTTGATGCTCTCTGAGCTTGTTTGTTTGCTTGCAGACATTTCATTACCTGACTAGGTAACATCATCAGTGCACTGATGATGCATTGATGATGTTACCTAGTCGGGTAATGAAATGTCTGTAAGCAAACAAACAAGCTCAGAGAACAGCAAAGACTCCACAGTTCAACCCTGAGCTACACATATTCTCTTCTATTGGGCTGGTACTACCATTAAGCAGAAGTAACCTTGTGTCCAGAAGCATCCTCAATTTAGAGCATTGTCTTCTCTTCCTCAGGGCTCCATGTCTATGAATTAGCCAACACTGATTCATAATTACAGGTAGGATTTGAACTTTCTAGGCCAGTCCTGGGAGATAGTTCTCAGCATTCAATAATGATCTGTCTCAAATGTCTTACTGGTCCTGGGGCTTGCATTTGAGTCAAGGTCAGGATGTAGGGAATGGAGAGAGAAAGGGAAAAAGGAAGAAGCAGGGAATGAAAGGGCTGGCAGGAGAAGGAAAGTGAAAGAAAAGGCAAGGGGCAGAGAGGAAAGAGAGGAGAGGAAAGAAAAGAAAAGGAATGGGAAAAGTCAGAAAAGAAAAAAGAAGGGGAAAATAAAAAGAAATAACGACTTTTGTTAATGTATTTGTGCCTTGTGACACTTATGTCACTAAAATATTGTCTTTCCAATAGCCAAATATTCTAACTTTGACTTTTACGTTCCTGAAGATTGTTCTTGCTTCCAGCAGCTTTGCTGCCTTAATGATGATGTAAGCATGAGATCCTGTGCAGGAGGTCCTCAGGTTATGATGGGAGTTGGGACCGGAATTTCCATTGCTAAGCAATGCGGCTGTAAAGGGTGACATCACATGACTGCATCACTTAGTGACAGCAATCCTGGCAGGCCCAGTTGACGTCATAATCCCAGGACCGTACAGGTTGTTAAACGGGAAGAGATGGGAGTCCCAGGCAAGGAACATGGGGGGGGGGTTGCATAGGTGTAGCCCACTCCATAGTGGGGCTCCTTGGGAGAAAAAGTGGTGGGATCAACTTATAAGAACCACTTGTGACCTTCCCTGCTGGCTTCCCCATTGACTTTGCTTGTGGGAAGCTGGCAGGGAAAGTTGCAAATGGCAATCACTTGACTGCAGCTCGCTGCAACATTGTAATGACAAGCCAGGCCCCCGAGAGCCTGGACCACAATCACATGACCGTGGGGATGCTGTGATGGCCACAACTTTGCAGACCAGTTGTAAGTCTACCTTGCTCATCACTGTCGTAATTTTGAACAGTCGCTGAATGAGTGGTCGTAACTTGAGGTCTTTCTGTATGTATTTCCTTAATCAGCATTTAGAAATAGGGCAGCCAGGTGCAAGGATAGAGAGTATCCTGGTGTCTTTAGTGCAGCTCCAGAAATGGCAGGAGAGTTAGCAGCAGCAATCACATCTCCTACCTGGTTTCTACCTGGCCCTGTTGTTGACTCCCTTTTCTGCCTGTTGGGAGAAACCTTTGGAGCCTAGAATGTTTGAGCAGGTTCGGGGAAAGGGGCAGACAATTGGATTGGGGAGGAAACCATTTTCAATTTTAATTTATTATAATCAAGGATCAGGAAGAAACAGGAAAAACAAGTCACGTCTGCTTTGCCTATTGCCAAATTGGAGATTTAAAAATGCAGCTTGTTTCTTCACCTTGCAATTTTATAACTTCAGGGATGGGATGTAGGGAAGGGCATTCTTTCACTTTTATAGAATGTATTTATTTCTATTTCAAAATTGTCACTGCCCATCTCGCTACAGAGCAACTTTGGGCTGTTTACAGTAAAAACAGAATACATATCAATTACAATAAAATAAGGATTAATGAATTAAAATACACTATAACAAGATTCCTATAGAATACTTCTGAGAAGCTGAAGTTAATTAGAAGTTAATAAACTCGGGGAGTGTCTTCAAGGTGTCAGCCACCTTCAGGGTTGGTTGTATCTCTTCTTGCCTCAAGCAAGTTGGCAGAGCCAGGTCTTCAATTTCTTCTGAAAAAGTGGGAGGGTAGGGGCCCGCCTCACCTTTGGGGAAGAGTATTTCATAGGGCAGGGGCAACAGCAGAGAAGGCTCTCCTCCTGGGCCCCGCCAGCTGCCATTCTCTCGCCGACGGGACCCGTAACAGGCTTCTCTGCTGGACCAGTTATATAGCATTGGTAAGGTTTAGGCATTGGCTGCATTTTAAAGAGCTCTTTTGTGGACAGTTCTCTCCATCTTGCTATCTTTTTCAAGTTATGCCTATTTCTTGCAAGCTCTTTTCCCCACATACGATGTACTTTTCTCTATGTGAGTTTCATCATCGGGGGCACTTCCCCATAAATAGTAGCATGGTAAAATTCAAAATGGGTAAATATTGTACAGAGGCATTGCAATTGGCATATCAGTTTAGGAGCAGGAAATGAAGAAATTGCAGATTGCACTTTCTTCCTTTAATAAGGGCCAGAAGGAATCTATAAATACAGGCAACAGAATGCAGAACTTGGAGACTAGACTGAAAACACCAGAGGCTATACCATTGCTGAAAGTAAGCCAGTGTGGGTTTGTTCAACAATCTAGGTAAGTCTATAGAAAATATATAGGCGAGAAGAGAATGCACATTTAAGAAATACGTACCTCTTGAGCATATTCATTACAAATGATAGTAGTGTCCCAGAAGAGAAGCAGCGTGGAGAAACAATTTGTGCAGAATTGAAATTTTAAATAGCAATAGCTCTCCTATGGAGATACCAGAGGATGAGTTGCATGGTCTAAATCATCTTTCTCCAATGTAATGCCTTACAGATGTGTCTGGACTACAACTCCAGATCTAGTGTGGTGTAGCAGTGAAGGTATTGGACAAGGACTTGGGGCCAGTCACTACCCAACCTACTTCACAGGACTGCTCTTGTGGGACAAAAATGGGAGCAGACACTGCCATTTTGAGCTCCTGAATGAAAGGCATGATATAAATCTGATTGATTGATTGATTGATTATGTGCCATCAAATCAGCTTTGACGTCTAGTGACCGCATAGATAAATAGATTTTCTCCATGAAAAAATCTGATCAATACATTCCCATAATCTTCCAGGCAGCATGAATATGCTGGTTGTTGGAGGGGGAGTCGTAGTTCAAAGCATTTGCACGGCAGCAGACTTGTGAAGGCTTATTTATTTTTGTTACACTTCCTTGTTTTCTCTCTGCATCATGTACAGAGGAGGCAACTATTTATCAAGAGTGATGTGAAATGGCTCTTACCATTTGCAACTTGGGCAGCTCCTGTGAAAAAAAGAAATGGAAGCTGGGTCTGTTATTCAGTCGACAGCCTATTTAAACAAGCCCCCTCCCCAGTTCATTTCTACCCGAGATGACTTTGATAGGAAGAGATTCCAGACTTTCAAACAGTCTGGGAGCACCTTTTCCAATTAACAAATTTTATTCAAAGGCATCAGCTTTCATAAGCTGCTCATCAGATGCATACAGTGCCTAAATCAGTGTTTCTCAAGCTCAGCAACTTTAAGATGTGTGGACTTCAACTCCCAGAATTCCCCAGCCAGCATAACCAATGTGTCTCCCTTTCCTTTCTCCCCCTTTCACAATTGAAATCCTACATTGGTCTAGCCCAGTGTAGTGCTGATCAAGGTTGAGGCTGGTTGCTCAGGTTAGTATAAACCTTCTGTTTCACTCGACATACTTAACTCGGTTACCAAATCAATGAATTTTCTGAGTTTACACAATCTGTTGAGTTATATATTAACCTAGTGAGTTGATTGCATGCAGCACACAAGCCACAAAAACCTAACTGAGATTAAAGCTAGGCAATCTTTGCCAGTTGTATGAATATAGCCACTAAATCATTACTCAGTCTGGTATTATGCGAATGTGAACCTGGCCACCAGTGATATTTTCAGGACTTCAGATGTCTTTTGGGAGGGTGTCCATCTCCCATTTTATTCCCCCGCCCCGCCCCAGTTCTCTCCGTGATTTAGAAGGGAAAGAGCAAGAGAAAGGCATGAGATTTTAAATGCTTAAAATAAAAGATGTTGGGAAGGCTGGATTTATACTTGCTGAGCTGATTGTAGTTATACTGTTATACACAACAAGCCATATGTATGTTATGTTATTTTTATTGCATTTTAATTAATATTTATTTGTTGTTTTCATTCTAAACCGCCCAGAGTCACTTCCTCATGAGATAGGCAGTGACCAAATTTGAAATATAAATATAAGTAAATAAAGTATTTCCTCTCCAAAAATGTATCATAGGATTGGTGATATAACATGCAGAGGGCTCAGGTTGTGGGCCAGCCTTGCTATCTTTTCCCCCAAATCAGATTCTTTGCAGCAGATATGAAGGATTATATAGATTTTTGACATAACAGAATACAAAGCCCACTATTGATAGCTGAACAGTAAATAAGAGATTTAAAAGACCCAAGAAACCATTTTTTACTCATATTTTCATGTTGCATTTCCTTGGTCGTGACACCCCAATATATCCCAGAGATTTTTTTCCGAAATTAAGAAAGAATTCCAAAATCCATCTCATGATGTGGCTTTGGGAGGCCCCAGCCAACCCCAGAAGACTGGCAAGAAGGAGCTATGTGCTTTAACACAACGTTTCCTCTTAAAATATGGTTTGAGAAAATGCCTGGCGACTATATTCATCAAGGGATGGTCAGTCAAAGCTTGATTCTTTCTAAGGCAGAAAGTCAAAGGAGATAAAAGGGGGCCACAAGATCCAAAGGAGGCCAAGATAGAGGAGACTAGAAATGTTTGATCCAACTCACCCAACTGAGGCCAAGTCAAACCCAGGAGAATGGGGAGGACTGGGAATCCTAACTGTGCCATATTAGATGTTCCCAAGCTGGGGATGCGTTGACCCTGAAGTCTTTCTGGTTGGGAATCACCTGATTCCAGCTTCCAAGACTGAGGGCGCTGGGGCTTGCGGGGCGGTGGTGACATCTGGCTGAAGAGCAAGAGAACAGGAATAGAAATAGCTCTAGGCAGGAAACCTCAGAAAAGGGAAGAGGCTGGCATCGTAATGGGATTAAGTCATCAAGAAGCCTTCTGCTCCACCCACTCCCCCGGAAGTAAGTCCATCTTAAAAGGAAGAGGCTGAGATCTCAGCATTGCTTCTGGTCCCGAAGCAGCTTCAGTCACTTTTCCTGTATGTGTATCATTGCTTTTCTTTCCCTCTTATTTCTTTTTTCCTTTTAATTCTTTTTATTTCTCTTTTGGGTTATTGTATACCACATAGAGCCTTTATGGATTTATTTATTTATTAGTCCGATTTATATGGCCGCCCATCTCACAAAAAGCAACTCTTTTTGAATTGAGTGCCATGCAAATAATAGAAATATAAAAATAACCAACAGCCCTGATTTCACCTCAGAAATGGAAAGAGATGGATATGAAAGAATGAATATGAGTGTATAATCCCCTCCCAGGGTTTTGATTTCTGATTTCCCACAGTCCTTTGCCACTGACCACATTGGGTGAAGCTGGAGGGAAATGATGTCCAATACAGTAGGCAAGGACCAGCTTGCGGACTCATAGTCTTAATACAACACAAGTTGTGCAAAAGGAGGGCAAAGGAGAGTGAGATCCATTTGTTAAATACAACTGCCAAAGGTAGAATGCAAGAATTAGCGATCTTCCTGAATTGGAATAGGAAGGAAGGGAGGGAGGGAGGGAGGGAGGGCAGGCTATGGAAGTTATTAAGAAGACAAGTATTTTAAAGGTGGGTTGGAAGGTAGGCAGAAGGAAAGCACTTCCAGAAATAACTTATTAAAGTTCCTGCCCACTTTTGTTGTTCCTAGCAAATTAAGCACATCAAGACAACAAGCAAGTTAAAAGTACCTTCTTGGACAACAAAGTAAGAGCCACTGTTGCAAATTCACATTCACTGTTTATACAAAAGAGTCTTCTCTGTAGGACTGAAAGACTTTGGTCTGGACGCTATGGATGGAGGAAAAAAAATTATTTATGAACTTGACTTATTTTGTAATTTCCAATCAGTACACAAACTGAAATTTATTTAGTCATTTGACATTGGGGGAGGGGTGTCTCTGAACTTTGTAGTGCAGTCTGATGATGTTGATGATAATGTCTAAAGAATCTGCAGGAAAAGCCACCTATGCCTAAAAATAATGTACCCAAATACATGGAACTAGGGAAAGATGTTTGCAAAAGCTGTGTGCCTTAGGCCAAATTCATGCAAAGGTTCATGTGTGGGGGGCAATGTGTGAACATTCTCTTTATTTATTGATTAGGATGTTTCAATACAATAAAAGTATGAAGAATCAAAGGAAAGATAAGAAAAAGAAAAGAAAAAAGAAAAGACAATATAGAACTATGGCTTCCACCCTTCTTTCCATCAAGTAGTTACCATCTTACTCCTTCCCCTCCTTCTTTTTCTCCTTCTTCTTACTTTGTAATTCCATTCCCCTCCCCTTTTAACCCCTAAATCCATACATCATCAATTCAGTCTTTTCTTCTTTCAACAAAAAGTCTGTATAAGGTTTCCAGTCTTTCAAAAAGGTCTTTATCGTTTTTTTCCCCTGGCCAAACTGGTCAGCTTTGCCATTTCTGCAAGTTCTGCCAATTTTATAATCCAATCTTCCACTGTGGGTATTTCATTATTCTTCCACTTTATGCATACGGTAATTTTGCCAGTTATACCGTATATAATATTCATTTCCCATATTGCTTTTCTACTTCAATAGCCATAAAACCCAATAGAAACAAGTTAAGACAAACAGTCTCGAAGTCACTGTGACATATTGACATGTTTGCAAAAATGAAAAAACAAAAGAAATTCAAAAGGACAGGTTTACCCCATTGCTTACGTATATTGTCATCTCTGAGAATGTTATAAAATTGAAAGAAACCCCTTATCTGCAAAATATAGGGCAAGGCGTGTTGCAAGGCTTTATTTCATGGACGCTTCTGCTATTTCCAAGCCAGGCTTGATATAGACAGCTGAAGTTTGCACTGTCTTCTCAATTTGGGGAAGTCCCTGATTTTTTTTACTTCCTTGCTCAACAATCAAGGAGATTTATTAGCTAGCCAGACTGGTTGCAGAGTGGGAAACCAGGGGCTTTAAGCCAAAGGTGGCATTTTGCCTCCCAAGAGTTGTGATAACCTGGAAGGTGGCCTGGAGGGAATAACTCAAATGCAGTCATAGACATTAATTAATTAATTAAATTTATATGCCACCCATCTCCCCCAGAAGGCAACTCTGGGTGGCTCACAATTAAAATCCAAAACGGTAAAAACAAGGAAAATATAAATACCCACATTAAAATTAGTGAAAAACAATTCTATATAAAAAGACTATATACAATTCAAGAGTTCCCCATTGGGGAAGATGGATGGAGAATAAATTGAATGCATAATAATAATAATGATGATGATGGTGGGGGGGGGAGCAGTATCAATTATCCCACCAGCCAAGTCCAGTTTATCAAGCCAATCTTAGGTGGGTACCCATTATTCCTGGATTATATAATTTGTTTTGGTGCCTTTGAGTCAGTTTTGACTCCTGGCAACAGCCTGGACAGATCCCTGCAGTTTTCTTGGCAAGTTTTTTCAGAAGTGGTTTGCCTGGGGCTGAGAGAGAATGACGGGCCCAAGGTCACCCAGCTGGCTCGTTCAGATTGTATAGACCCTTTATCTAATCCATTGGAACTTTTTCAAATGAGGGTGTGAAGTTGAGTGTAAATGAGCCCCAGAGGGCATTAGCATGCCACTCCCAAACTAAGATAGACGCAAGGATGATAGTAGTAGGCTTATTATATCTGAGGTTTAAACATCCAGACTGCCACCAGATGGCCGCAAAAAATTAGCGTGTTCTACATCTCTTTGCAACCAGCTAGTGGACCTCCCAATTATTGCAACCCAGATGTGGCCCTAATAATAGGTTAAAAGAAGCAGGACCTGAAGCAAAAATTGTGAAGCCAGCGGGGTTCTTCAGCAGTGCCGTCATGTTCCTTCCCAGTTAAGTCAATTAACTTTAATCTCATTAGACCGGGGTTTCTCAACCTCAGCAACTTTAAGATGTGTGGACTTCAACTCATGCTGGCTGGGGAATTCTGGGAGTTGAAGTCCACACATCTTAAAGTTGCTGAGGTTGAGAAACCCTGCTTTAGACAATCAAATGTGAGTCTAATACAGTGTAATAATCACCTTTCACCTCGAAGGAGGATTTTGCTTAATGTGCCCTCTAGTGCTGAAGGAAAGTCTTGCAGAAGCCAAGCAAAAATATTTGAATGTGTGTTTCTGCTAGTGTTCATTCCGTAGTAGAGGCAGAAAAGACTGGAGGATAGTTCGTGCCAACGTATTCCTCTACAGTTGCAATGGTGAGCCTCATCTGACATCCCTTGGCAAAAACCTGACCAGGTATCTCAAGAATGTGGAAGATGCATATTTCTAATTCAATTTATCCTAAGAAGTGTGCTGTAGAATCAGTCATCTAGTCTCTGGGATTCATACGAAAGGTTGGTCTTGCTGCGAGTGGATCTGTGGGATCCTTTCACAACAAACTTGGCAGTGGCATTGACAGTAGTACATCCACAAGGGATAAACCCTGTTTGGCCACAAATCCAGTAAAAAGACGCCTGAAAAAGGACAAATGCGTTTGGAAGTTGTGTACCTAACAAACAACAGCCAACCAGTAAACATAAGAAAACAATTTACATCAGGGACATGAATGTTTAAAAAGCCGCCTTAGGAAAATTTGTATAAAAAAGATGCCAGAGAGATGTGTGTAAAGAAAAGGGTCTTGAATCATTTACACAAATAGCTGTGTGCATGGAGAAGATTGCACAAAAACACCCTCAGTTGGATGAGTTGCAACCATAAATGGTCCGGTTACGATTTTTTTCTAGGGATTTGTTTCCAGACAGAATATGGATACTGCCCTAGTTGTGTAAACAAGAAATAGACCAGATTTTTACTGATCTGCATATTCTTAGCCTCCATATGATTTGTCTACCCTAATCTGGATAACTGGTCTATCAAAAATGGCAACTTGCTGTCTGAATAAGACCTTCTGACCAAATTTTGAGGTTTTTCTGGGGCTGGGGTGGGGGAAATAGGACATTTTTAGAATACCTCCAGGAGGCCTGCTTGACATGTGGGACTCTGGCACGCAGATCTGCTTGCATGTTCCGTTTGCAGACCCCACATTTAGGCTGTGCCAGGATTCATGTAAAACCTAGATGAGTTTGATGACAAGCTAGTCTTAATGTGTGTGGATGGGTCCGGGGGTTTGGGGCTACAAATAACCTTTTCCAGGCTACCATCCAGGGTTTTTGTTTTTATTTTATTTTATTTTACTTTATTTTTTTAAATTAAATTTATATGGCACCCAACTCCCAAAAACTCCCCTAAGGAAGATGCAGCATTGGAGGAACCAGACCTCCTCCATTCACTTCTGTCCAGAGGCAGCCGAGCCATTGTTGAAGCAATGTGGTTTTTTACCATACAACTCTCCTAGCCTAAAGTTCTATCTAGGACTTGCTGGACCATTCTGCATGTAGAAAGCTTTGGTTTACTTAAAACAGCTGGCAGAAACAAGACACCTCAGCTCAGGCTGGGTTTCTGTGTCCAGAGGAGTTGTCTTCTAAATCAGCCACTTTGATGTAACAGTGAGGTTGATCCTACCTGAAGGCTATGCCTTTCTCAGAAATGAAAACTACAGCTCCATTTAGAGGGAAATTCTGAACAACTAGTTAAATCAGCTTTAGTTGTATTAAGTCTCAAGATAATATAGGTCAACATGTGCTCCAGGATGTCTGCCCCCATCAAACCAAAACACCTAGAGTTAGTTGGTTGCTTTGAAGATTCTAGAGAACCTCGGGCTGATCAAACAACAGTATGCTTCTATGCCTGCTCTAACAGCATTGATGGTACTTCCTGTACCATTAATCTTGGGTAATAGGACATCAGAATTCAGTCCTGGAAAGCCTGAGAAATGACTAGGAGATCCATGGAAT